GGTGGAGGGGCAGAGAGAGAGAGAGAGAGAGACAGAATCCAAAGCAGGCTCCAGGCTCCGAGCTATGAGCACAGAACCCGACATAGGGCTCGAACCCACAGACCATGAGATGATGTACTGAGCCGAAGTTGGACGTTTAACCCACTGAGCCATCCAGATACCCCACATAAAGGGCATTTTTAAAAATAAATTCATCATTCTTCTTTTCTTTCTCCCTACGCACGCACACACGCACACACACTTTGTATTTTCAGAATCATTTGAGAGCAGGTTGCATATGTGATGACCGGAATAGTCCTATTCCAAGTCCTATGGCTTGAACCCATCAGCAGTGAGATCATGACCTGAGCTGAAGTTGGACGCTTAACCGACTGAGCCACCCAGACGCCCCAAAAGATTATTTTTAATGTAATTAAGTTGATTTATTTTTAAGTTTGGTTTTTTTGCGAGAGAGAGAATGTACGAGCAGAGGAGGGCAGAGAGAGAGGGAGGGAGAGAATCCCAAGCAGGCTCTGCACCCTCAGCACTGAGCCCGATGCGGGGCTTGATCTCATGAACCATGGGATTGTGACCTGAGCCGAAATCAAGAGTCAGACCCTTAACTGACTAAGCCACCCAGGCACCCCAGGTTATTTTTAATTTCAGAGCAGGATTGTGAGGATGAGTGGAGTTAATATATATAAAGCCCTTGCAATGGGGCCAGCATGTCAGCAGTAATAGATCTTGGGGAGTGTTGCCCACGTGGGGAACGGCAAGAGAGGTGACTGTTCACTCAGATCATTTCTATCCACAGCCAGCCCCAAAGGCTCCAGAGTCTCCGTCTTTGGATTCGGCCCTTGCATCCCCACTGGATCCTCAAGCCCTGGCCTGTACCCCAGCTTCCCCATCAGACTCACAGCCTCCTTCTCCCCAAGACTAGGAAGCCCTGGACTTTGAAACCCCCTCCTCTTCCCTGGCACCCCAGACTCCGGACTCTGCTTTGGCCTCTGAGACCCTTGCGTCTCCCCAGTCCCTGCCTCCAGCCTCCCCACTGCAGGAGGACCGGGGAGAGGGGGACCTGGGGAAGGCCCTGGAACTAGCAGAGGCCCTGAAAGAGGGGGAGAAAAGGGACGGGGTGGCCATGCTGGAGTTGGTGGGATCCATTCTTCGGGGCTGTGTCCCTGGAGTGTATCGAGTCCAAACTGTGCCCTCTGCCCGGCGCCCTGTGGTCAAGTTTTGCCATCGGCCTTCAGGTCTCCACGGTGACGTCTCCCTCAGTAACCGGTACTTTTGTTGTGGGGGTGGGGCGGTTTGGAAAGGGCAGGCTGGGGTGGTCAGGAGGGAGCCCCTGTGTGGGAAGCTCCTGCCTTGCTGAGCGTCCGGGTTATCCTTGTTTGGTCCCATCCCTCTTTCTGCCACTTGTCACCTGTCTGGCATCCATTTTCATGAACGTAAAGTGTGTTCCTTGGGATACTGTTCTTAGGGGATTTAGGAAAGAGTCAGGGTGGAGTAAGTTGGGAAATGCTAAGTTAGATGCAAATAGGTTTCTCCCTCTCCCCCACTTTCTCTTTCTTTCTCTCTTTCCTTACCTCTTTTTCTCCCTCCCTTCCTGTCTTTGTTTCTTTCCATATGAAAGGCTTTGTTTGAGCAGTCTTGTGGAATGGCCTATCCAGGAGGGGCATATGGGATGTAGTGTTTTCCTCAAACACATTGATGACTTTTGTCTACTGGTTTGCATGACCGCTATGTCCGCAAACACTTGGGAAACCCTCTTTTGGCCTTCTTCCAGTGGCCCCCGTTCTGCAAGCCTGGAATGAGAATTGGGGGAGGGGGATGAAAGGTTCCGAGTGTCCCCAAGCACTGACGCCCCGGTCTTTGTTCCAGGCTGGCCCTGCATAACTCTCGCTTCCTGAGTCTCTGCTCTGAGCTGGATGGGCGAGTACGGCCCCTCGTTTATACCCTCCGCTGCTGGGCTCAGGGCCGAGGGCTGTCAGGTGAGGGGGAAGCAGGAGACTTGGGGCGGGGCTGGTGTTGGGGCAAAGGGAGGGAAGGGGCGGCAGGTGCAGGAACCAGGGAGGGTGTTAGATGGCATCCTGAATCTAACTGGAATTATTATTTACCCAGGGAGTGGCCCCCTTCTCAGTAACTACGCCCTGACCTTGCTCGTGATCTATTTCCTTCAGACCAGGGACCCTCCTGTGTTGCCCACTGTATCCCAGCTCACCCAGAAAGCAGGTACAGCAGCCTGGCTTCACCCTCTGCATCTTGTTAGCGGCAGTTGTTCTCTATCCCGTTTAGATGTGCTAACCTACCCCAGGAATGAGGTCTCTGCTCGGCTCCCCAAATCTTCCTGCTTCCAGGCTCACCCTCCCCTTTTACACTTTCATAGGTGAAGGCGAACAGGTGCACGTTGATGGCTGGGACTGTAGTTTCCCCAGGGATGCCACACGACTGGAGCCCAGCACCAATAAGGAGCCCCTCAGTGAGTTTGGGGAGCCCGGTAAAGGATTAATAAATGATGTTAGTCACAGCCGTAGATAACATAGCTCAGGTCCTGTTTGCCAGGCACGGTTCTCGTGCCACATCGTGGGAAAGCTAGTATTGTGACTGCCACTTTACGGATGAAGAAGCTGTGCGTTGTGCGTTGGAGCAGTTGAGTGGCCTGCTTAAGGTCACACTGGTAGCCAGCGAGGGGAAGGAGCAGCGTCTGGGCAACAGTGTTGCTGGGGGCCGGGGAGAGAGGCTGGACCTTTTATCTAGAGAGACCGGAGGAGCCTGGTCTGACCCTCTTCTGAGCTCCTTGGAAGGGAACAGGAAGTCCTCAGGGAATTCCTCTAGTGCAGGCCTGGCTCCGTTCTGGCCCCTAAGTAACCCCCTCTGCCTGGTTTTCCTCCTCCTCCAGGTTCTCTGCTAGCCCAGTTCTTCTCCTGCGTCTCTTGCTGGGATCTTCGTGGCTCACTGCTGTCTCTGCGGGAGGGTCAGGCACTGCCTGTGGCAGAGGGCCTGCCCTCTAATCGCTGGGAGGGTCTGCGCCTTGGCCCCATGAATCTCCAGGACCCCTTTGACCTGAGTCACAATGTGGCAGCCAATGTGACCAGCCGGGTGGCCGGGAGGCTGCAGAACTGTTGCCGAGCGGCAGCCAATTACTGCCGGAGCCTGCAGTACCAGCGCCGCTCCTCGCGGGGTCGGGACTGGGGGCTGCTCCCCCTTCTGCAGCCCAGCTCCCCTAGCTCCCTGCTGTCCGCAACGCCCATCCCCTTACCCCCTGCTCCCTTCAGCCGGCTCACCGCGGCCCTGGCCCAGGTGTTAAGGGAAGCACTGGGATGCCATATAGAACAGGGAACCAAGAGACTGCGGTCGGAGGGAGGTGGACCCGAGGAGTCTCCCCAGGGAGGGACAAGCAAAAGACTGAAGCGAGACGGACAGGAAAACAGCTGGGTCGAGGGGCGGGAGGAGCAGCAGGGATGTACGGGAGACCCCAGCGAAGACGGGGTGGAGGAAATGGTCATAGAGGTTGGAGAGACGGTGCAGGACTGGGCCGTGGGGAGCCCTGGGCGGCCCGGGGAGCCACCCCATGTGACGGGGAAGCACCTAGCCCCTGGAGAGGAGGGGCGGGCAGGCCACGTGGCGCTGGCAGAGCAGGGGCCCAAAGGACCTGAGGCAGCGGGAGAAGGGGCTCGGAGTGAGGCAGGGAAGGGGGTGTCCCTCTCAGCGAGCTGGCGCTGTGCCTTGTGGCACCGAGTGTGGCAGGGCCGGCGGCGTGCCCGGCGGCGCCTGCAGCAGCAAACCAAGGATCGAGACGGAGGCGGTGCCGGTGCGGCAGAGTGGCTGGCGGTGGAGGCTCAGGTGACCCAGGAGCTGAGAGGACCCAGCAGTGCTGCACAGAGGCCGGCGGCTGGGCCACTCCTGACCTTTGTGGCGGTCGCCTCCCAGGCTGACCAGACTCTCACTGTGACCCCGCTCCAGGATTCTCAAGGCCTGTTCCCTGACCTCCATCATTTCTTACAGGTTTTCCTCCCTCAAGCACTTCGAAACCTCCTCAAGTGAAGACAGGGACCCGAAGGGGCAATAAAGCTGCTACTTAATAAACACTACAGTGTCCTAATTTCCACCCGGTAGTACTCCGCCTTCCACCCAGTACTTGCCCTCCCCAGACCTTACTGCCTCCTCTCAGAGGTGCCTTTGGCCACCGAAAACTGTGTCCGCCTGTTCCATCACACCAGCCATCACAACTCGCAGCGAGTGCCTGGGAGGGCGTGTTCCTGCTCCCGGAGCCCAGCCAGCAGGGTTCCTGAAACTGGGGTGCTGGGTGGGTGGCTTGGGCAGTAGCTGTGAGGAGAACCAGGTTTGCCTCCACGTTTACCTTGCTGCCCAGATTTATGTGGTGACGGCTTGAAACGGGTTCAGGGTTACCCATCGTGAGTGAACTGCCCGTACGTACTGGGCGCAAGGGATCGGCTGTGTCGGCCCTCCCCTGCTGCAGGCCCAGCACCAGAGCCGTTCTTGCAGTGACTGCATCCCGGGGCCACAGGGTGGCTTAATGGGAGGAAACCTCACTTCTGCAGAGGGTTTGTGACCTGGGCTCCCGTTGGATACTCATCCTCTAGAAAACCAGAGTGGGAACACATGGGATTATCCGCGCGGGAGTTACTTCCGCTCCAGTGAGTGTCCCACAACCTTGATGTTAGGGACTTGGCACAGTGTTCCCGAGATGGAGGGGAACGGCTCTGGGACCCCCCCGCGTGGCGCGGCGCGGGCAGCTGTGCCACGTCGCCGCCCAGGAGAGGCCCTGGAGCCCGGCCCATTCTCACAGTTTTCCCTCCGCGCCTTCCACCTCCACGTCGGGCCTCGGATTGGCCATGCCTGAGGGGCGGGCCAGTCGAGAGTCCCACTGCGCAGGCGCAAGCTCTTCTGCTCAGGCCAGCAGGCCCCACCCCTCTCTTTTCCCGATTCAGCTGCCGCAGGATACCGAACTGTCGTGCGTATGCCTTCTATGCCGTCTTCGCTTTGCGGCTGCTGTTTCTCCACGGCTCTTCCCTTCCCCCCCTCCTCTCCCGGACGGCTTACTTTGCGGCAGCGCCGAGAGCCCCACCCCCTTTCTCTGCGGAATCACCATGGCGGCTGGGGTAAGGTTGCCGGCTCTGGCTATCCAGCTTGCTGTATCCGACGCCATCCTCTGCTCGAGTGGGGCCCTCCGGCGTCAGAGGAGTTCTGGGGCCGCGTGGGGAACTGATGCGGGGTCTAGAGATCGTACTGCTGGAGAGCAAGGCTTCCAGACCCTGGAGGGGAACTGAGGCTGGGGCTCTCGGAGGCCAAAGAGGTGGAAGGGTCTGGGGTAGTGGAGAAAAGAGAGGTCGGGTCCTGGTCCTCAGGGCCCTGAGAAAAGGGTTCGGGTTCGCTGCCGCCTCGAGACGGGATATCCGGGCGGGTTGACAACTTTTGCGACCGTTTTGTGGGGGCAGCAGCGGGGACTGGGTAAAGACTAGAGTCTTTGTGGGTACGTACGGCTGTCCACGGCCAAGGGTTCGTCACAGGGGAGGCTGGGGAATGAGAGGAATCTCCGGGCGGTGGAGTCGGGCCAGCTGGACCGTGCCGACCAGGTTAAGAGAAGGAGAAGCTCCTGCCAAGGAACTCACTGCGGGACAGGACCGGGGGGACGGTATGCGTGACAAGAAGGAACGGGCGTTTGGGTTCACCGGGCTGTTTTGGGAGGAGAAGATGCCATTCGGTCTCGCCTGGCTGTTCTGAAGGGAACGTGGAAATGGACAGGGGTGTGTGAGAAGCAGGGATAATGCTTTAAAGGGGTGAGCGGCTCGCAGTGCAGCAGGCAAGTCCTCGCCAGCCATCAATGAATGAGACCCGGGAGAGGAGTGTGTGTGCGTGTGTTTGTGTGTCGGCAGGTGGAGTCTGCGGGAGCTAGTAGTTCTGGGTTTCTTGAAGATGTATTTGAGGGGATGAGAATGCTTCTAGAGTTGTCCTTAGGGAAGGTCAAGCCTGTCAACAAGCTTTATTTAGCAGTCAGTGTGTGGTTCTGTCCCCGATATTTCAGAGGACTCTGATTACACATGACCGATGCTAGAGAATTGGGTTCACCAGAGTGGGTAACAGAGAATTGAATGGGTTGGAAAAAACTCAGGGAATTTATTCCTGGAGGTGACGTTAGGACTGGGACTCTTCTACTTGTTAATATCCTTCACCTCTCTCTGCCCTGACCTCCTATCCCCCACCCCTCTTTCTCCCACAGACCCTGTACACATACCCTGAAAACTGGAGGGCCTTCAAGGCTCTCATCGCTGCTCAGTACAGCGGGGCTCAGGTCCGCGTGCTCTCCGCACCACCCCACTTCCACTTTGGCCAAACCAACCGCACCCCTGAATTTCTTCGTAAATTTCCTGCCGGCAAGGTGAGTAGGACAGTGGAGAGGGGGTCTCCGTCTCAGGTCCTGAGAATCCAAGGAGGCCTGAAGACAACCTGAGAATCCAAGGAGGCCTGAAGACAACCTCCATCTTTAAAAGGGCGCTTTCCATATTATAACTTTTTTTTTTTTTAACATTTCATTGACTTACAAGTTCTCTTATTTTGAGATTGTGTGTTTGCACGTATTTAGAAATAATGCAGAGGCTGCTCCGTGACCTGCTGTAAAATTCACAGGTTTCTTTGTGGGAGAGAGAATGAGTTTTGACTGTTTTTAGTGCATGTGTATCAGGTGTCTGCCATGAGCTGACCGAGGGGCTCATAGAGATCCATAAATAACCATGCTAAACAGCAAAGATAAATGCAATGTGGGGAATACCACCCCACTTTCAAGAATACAGACAGAGCTAGGACATTTGGTTTCTGGCCTTTTGCCTCTTTGAGGGATTTTACATAAACGTTTGATAATATCTAAATCTTTTGGGTTTTCCATATGGGTTCAGATTGTATGGGATACCAGCTAACTTAAGTATTTTTGGTTCCGGAGTTCCAGACTATACCAATAGCGTGTACCGATAGTTGGTTAGTAAGGGTCATCAGCCTTCTAGAAGAACTTTTATCCAAAACAACTTCAGTTCCTGGGATTGGCTAGTGAAAAATTACTGTGTATTTTACGCATTATTATTACTATCTTTTTAACGTTACTTCTCCTTTGACCGTTTTGTCCAGGTTCCAGCATTTGAGGGGGACGATGGATTCTGTGTGTTCGAGAGCAATGCCATTGCCTACTATGGTAATTTGCAGTGGGTGTGGGGATGGGAAGATCTGGAATGAAGGAGGTAGGGGAGGATGAGGGTGAGCTGGAGAGGAATTTTCAGGAACCTTGGTTGGTGTTGGCAGGACCCCAAAGTTCTGACCTTTGTGCTCTGCCTCTGCAGTCAGCAATGAGGAGCTGCGGGGAAGTACTCCTGAGGCTGCAGCCCAGGTGGTGCAGTGGGTGAGCTTTGCCGATAGCGACATAGTGCCCCCAGCCAGTACCTGGGTGTTCCCCACCTTGGGCATCATGCACCACAACAAGCAGGTAAGCCTTGGAACTTGGGGGGAGGCCAGGGGCAGGGAGGGCATCAGCTCCTGAGTGTCGGGGAGTAAGGAATAAAATAGACGGAGGAAAACAGATGCTAAGAACATACGGATAATGAAAGACCTAACCTTTGGGGTGTGAGTTTGGAGCGCTGGGCTGTCAGTGGTATCCAGGTTGTGTTGTCACATAGACCCAGTGGAGGTGGGGCCTGTTGTGAGTGGTCCGGGGAGAGATTTCTGCTGTAGAAAAGCTCTGCCAGATGGCAGGAAGGCGGTTAAACCGGGTGACCGCTGAGGTTCCTTCTAAAACCCAAAAATACAGTACTGTGGTCAGTATAGCGGGAAATTAAGCCAGGCTGCACCATGAAGAAATTTGACATTGAGAGCTTCAGTGTCTGATACATTGGGGATGAGCCAGAACTTAGAAAGTGAAATCGCTACCTTAGTTCTATTGTCGGGGGGTGGGGAGCGGGGAAAGGGGTGGGCGCCCGCTATTAAGTTTGATCATTTGAAATAAATAGGCCACAGAGAATGCAAAGGAGGAGGTGAGGCGAATTCTGGGGCTACTCGATGCTCACCTGAAGACCAGGACTTTCCTGGTGGGCGAACGCGTGACACTGGCCGACATCACAGTTGTCTGCACCCTGTTGTGGCTGTATAAACAGGTGACGTTTATAAAGAATCTGGGTTCGGGTCCGCAGAGGGTGGTGGGTGGGTGGGTGGGGTTAGAAATGAAGTGATGAGTCTGATGAGTCCTCTCAGGTAACAGCTCGACTCGAGGAATCCCAGATTTGAGGGCCAGGCCGCGTTTTCTCCTCCTGAGGAGTTTGGTAATGTTCTGTTGTCCCGATTTCTCTGGGGCAGCTAAAGTGTTTAGTTTGGTTTCCATGTGTTTCTTGGGAAAGGCAGCTGTGCTTAGCTGTAAGGACAGGTAGAGCTGGGACCTTCATTACAAAGATCTTGTGGAGGCTGAACTAGGTTCGGTTCTTGGCTTCATTAGTTACAAGTTGTAGGTAGAGGTGAGTGTGAGAGGGCTGGAGAATTCATTTAGTTCTTTTTTCTCTGGAAGCTCTAAAACTAGGGTAGCAATAATTACTCTTGAGGTTTTTGGGTCAAAGAAGATGACATGCTGGTGGGTCGTGAGCAGCAGCTCTTGGACCAGTACTGGTCCAGAACAGTAGTGTGGTAGTTGTCAAGAGAAAAAGCACCTAATTTGTGTCAGACATGGTGCCAGGGTCCTTGCGGGCATCATTGTAGTCTTGCCCTGCGTACGGGTGAGGGGAAATGGGACCTGGCCCAAGGGCGCATAGCTAATAAATGGTGTAGGATTTGAACCCAAGACCTGCCGAACCAGCGCCGTAGAACTGACTGCTATGCTCTGTCTCCGTGCCAAGGTCATTTTCTCTCTGGTCTTAGCAAACTGAAAGATGGTAAATGAGTTTGTTTATGAAGCTAAGTTTAATTTAAAGGACTGTTTGATATGTTGAAATACTTTTTACTTTTGAATTTTTATTTACTTTTGTTATTGAATATTCTTTAGTTTTTGAGGTTTGGTTAAAAAAAATATATATCGTGTAGTTAATGTACATGATATTTGTTAATTTTGTTTATTTGGCAAAGGGAGTAATAGGTAGTTCTGCGTGTCTCCACCTTTTTTGTTTTTAAAATTTTTTATTTTTTTTGATGTTTATTTTTGAGAGAGCATGAGCAGGGGAGGAGCAGAGAGAGACAGAGACACAGGATCCGAAGCAGGCTCCAAGTTCTGAGCTGTCAGCACAGAGCCCGATGTGCACACCCTCCCCCCCACCTACCTACTTACTTTCCTCCCTTCCTCCCTCCCTCCCTTCTATTTTATTGACACATGACATTTAAAAGATTGGAATATGTTGGTGTGAATTGGCTTTGTGAGAGGAGTAAGGTGCCGGGTTGCCTGGATGGCTCAGATGGCTAAGTGTCTGACTCTTGGTTTCTGCTTAGTTCATGATCTCTCGGTTGGTAAGAGCCCTGCATTGGGCTCCTCACTGACAGTGCAGAGCCTTCTTGGGATTCTCTCTCTCCCTCAAAATAAATTTAAAAAAGGAGTAAGGTGCCATATAAACATTTGTACCAAGTAGTTTTATAGTAAGTGAAGGATGGGATCGAGCACTCATTAAATTGTGCTGAACTGTGGAAAAGAGGAAGGTAAACGGGAAGTAGTCCCTGGGGTAAGATGGGATTCTAGGGAGCTGCCATCTGGGAGGTTGAGAGGAAGGTAGAGCTTTGGTCTAGAAAGAAACAAGGGTCTCTGGCTTGGAACTCTTTAGGACCTTTCTTTCTGGGTCCCGAGCAGCAGCTCTTGGACTGATAGTGGTCCAGAACAGTAGTGTGGTAATTGTCAAGAGAAAAAGCACCTAATTTGTGTCAGACATGGTGCCAGGGGCCTTGCGGGCATCATGGTAGTCTTGCCCTGCGTACGGGTGAGGGGAAATGGGACCTGGCCCAAGTGCACGTAGCTAATTAACAGCGTAGGATTTGAACCCAAGTCTTGTTGAACCAGCGCCATAGAACTGACTGCTTACTCTGTTCTGTCTCCGTGTCAAGGTCATGGTTTCTCTCCACTGACTTGGTCTCCACCCTTCTGTTCTGACAGGTCCTGGAGCCTTCTTTCCGCCAGGCCTTCCCCAACACCAACCGCTGGTTCCTCACCTGCATTAACCAGCCGCAGTTCCGAGCCGTCTTGGGGGAGGTGAAACTCTGTGAGAAGATGGCCCAGTTTGATGGTAAGTCAGAGGAGGTGGAGGAGCTGTGTGACCTGGCGCAGAGGCTGGTTTGCTCAGTCTCAATCCCTTGATTTCCCGTCAGACTTTTGGGTTATGTGGGCCCGCAGAATGTAGGGTGTCCCGCGTAGTGACTGATATTTCAGGCAGCTTGTTTTGCACGCAAACATACCCTCACTCGTTAGCGTTAACGTCTAGAAACGATGGTGCATACTTGTTGCTGAGGGTTGTGTTCTTCAGGACATACAGGGAACTGATGGCAAGGCGGGGCCTAGACCCCTTTGTGGTCCTGCCCAGCAGTTTTCCTCCATCACCTATTTACCACCTGGCTTTAGAGGCTCATGGAAAGAGGCAGGATGTTGAATTCTCTCCCTTCCTCTGTACTAGCTAAAAAGTTTGCAGAGAGCCAGCCTAAAAAGGACACCCCCAGGAAGGAGAAGGGTTCTCGGGAAGAAAAGCAGAAGCCCCAGGCTGAGCGGAAAGAGGAGAAAAAGGCTGCCGCCCCTGCTCCTGAGGAGGAGATGGATGAGTGTGAGCAGGCGCTTGCTGCAGAGCCGAAGGCCAAGGACCCCTTTGCTCACTTGCCCAAGAGGTAAGGGTACTAGAGGGTCAGGGGCCCGGGACCCAGGAAGGCCAGTGTGTCCCTGTGCGTGTTCCTCTTACACAGCAAGGGCCTAGAGTTTTAGGTTGTCCATGCAAAAGTCAAGAATGTTTTGTTTGTAAGTAAAGCAACTTCCTGAGTTTATTCTTAAGAATTGGGTGAGTTTTATGAATATTTTTGAATGTTTACTTTTGAGGGGGAGCAGGGGAGGGGGGAGGGAGACACTGAATCCAAAGCAGGCTCCAGGCTCTGAGCTGTCAGCGCAGAGTCCAGTGCAGGGCCCGAACTCACAAACTGATAGATTATGACCTGAGTCAAAGTCGACACTTACCCCACTGAGCCACCTGGGCGCCCCAATGCCTGCGATTCTAATGAGACCTAGGGCAGTGACTGAGGACCTAGAGAGCCTGGAGCCTGCTTCAGATTCTGTCTCCCTCTCGCTCTGACTCTCCCCTGCTCATGCTGTCTCTCTCTCTTTCTCGTTCTTTCTCAAATAAATTAAAAAAAAAAAAAAAATTAGTATCACAGGCATTATGGGGCACCTGGGTGGCCTCAGTTGGCTGAGCATCTGACTCTTGATTTCAGCTCAGGTCCATGATCCCAGGATCGTGGGATCGAGCCCCATGTTGGGTTCCTCGCTGAGCATGGAATCTGCTTGGGATTCTTTCTCTGCTCCCTGCCCTTGTGCACGTGCGTGTTCGTGCGCATGTGCGCTTTCTCTCTCTCAAAAAAAAAAACAAAAAAACAATTGCAAGCATTATGAGACCAGCCCTGTCCTGTTTGTAGCCACTTCACATGTAGTAGTTCTCATTTCTCCCTGCTCTTCACTCTGCTCACTCTGCCTTTCCCGAAGCCGTCCAGCCTTTCACTAGTTCTGTTAGTGTTAAACATGGTTCCACCTCCCTTATTTTGTAATTTTTTTTTCTTTTTCTCTCCTTTTTTTTCTCTTTTGTTTTCATCTTTATTTATTTTTAGAGAGGGAGGGAGCGCTAGTGGGGGAGGGACAGAGACAGGGAGAGAGAGATTCTATCCCAAGCCGCCCATGCTGGCAGCGCTGAGCCCACTATGGGGCTCAAACCCACAAACTGGGATATGACCTGAGCTGAAATCAAGAGTCGGACACTTAACTGACTGGACCACCCAGGCGCCCTGTAATGGTTTTTTATGGGATAACCCAGCATGAAGGTGCACGCTGCTGGCGGTATGATAGGAGCATGGAGACTTGTAAGTGACGAGCGTCCTAGTGCTGGATGGTCACGGTTAGGAGCTGGCGTTTGCCCATTTGGGGAGCAACTTGAAGTGTAGCTCAGGCTTAGCAGTTCATACAAGACCAGGGAAGGCGTCAGATGCAGCTGTTCTTTACAGATGTTATTTCTTTTCGAACCGAAGTGATTTACCTTGAATTTAGCACAGGGGCAGGTCAAGAGTGAACAGGCTTTTTGGTGTGTGTAAATAAGCTGTGATAACTAACCCAAATTATATATACTGTTGTAACATAGACATTGTTAATTATTAGCTAGAGATTTTTACATACATTAGGTTGATATACTCCGGGCAGAAAATGAATCCCCAATAAACTGAAAATCTTTAATAAACTTTGCATTTCTTTTATCCTTTTGCGAATGTTGGTTAATACCAGTTTGTTATATTGCCGTGACGCTCTACTGGGTTGCCGAGAGGATTTTCCCCTGGATTTTTTGTTTGTTTGTTTGTTTATTTTGAGAGAGAGCGGGAACATGTATGTGTGTGGGCATGTGAACATGAGCTTGAGCGGGGTAGGGGCAGAGATGTGGAGAGAGAATCCCAAGCAGCCCTGTAGAGCCGCAGGGCTCGATATCCCGAACGGTGAGATCATGACCTGAGCTGAAATCAAGTCAGACGGTTAACTGACTGAGCCACCCAGGCGTCCCTACCCTCGATTTTTAAGGTCACAAAGGTAACGTCTTCAAAGATGAATAGTACTGTTTGTCCAGAGTTAGTTCTAGTCCTCTTAGGGCCTTCCAGCTAAACTTGTTCCAGGAGCTGCTCAGAGCCTGTGGTCATTTTGGGGGAAAGTGGATGCAACAGGGTCACAAATTACAAAGTTTCAACAGTTCAGGAGGGTGTAAAGAAAAAAAAATCTCCAGTCTCTTTTTTGGGTGGTTGAGGGGGAAGGTCCTCTGGGGAGGTCTCTGATGTGTATTGGGGAAGGAACATGGGACCCAGGGGTAAAGTCCAGCCTCTGCTTTGCTCTGTGGAAGCAGTGGGCAGAACGCACCACTTAACCGGATCTGGAGAGAGAGGGAAAGGGATGGTGTCTAACTCTAGGGTTTGTTAGTATTATTTTTGCTGATGAGTAGTTGAGCCAATTAAACATTTAGTAAGGTGTTTTTGTTGTTTTTTTTTTTAATAACTTTTTTGTTTCTTTCTTTGAGAGAGTGATCCAGTGGGAGGAGGGGCAGAGAGAGGGGGAGACCAGCCCAAGCAGGCTCTATGCTGATAGCGAGGATCAAATGCGGGGCTCGAACCCGCAAACTGTGAGATCAAATGACCCAGTTGAAACCAAGAGTCCGACGCTTAACCAGCTGAGCCACCCAGGCGCCCAGCCATTAAAACATTTGTGAAAAGATTCTCAGTAGGGTGACATAGTATCACATGAACAGATCGTAGAAGGCACAATGCTAGATGCGTCATCTTAGGAAAGTCACCAGTGGGAAGTGTATAAAAATATTAATTAGTTGTCTTGTGTGCTGGCTTTGTGGGTGATTGTCTTCAGCTCGCGGTTTTCTAACTGCAAAGAAAAGAAATAGAACTGCTACCGTGAGGGGAAGGGCCTCTCTGTAGCGGCAGAGCCCCGCCTGCTCAGTGTGCCTGATCTGAGCCCTAGCGCTTCAGAGATCATCTGAACCTAAGGGCTTTTCAGCATCCGGGCTTGCTCCTGGGCAGAGTAGTGACTATAAAGGCCATGGTGTTAAGGTCTGGGGTGGAGTCCCTTTGAAGGTGTTCACTGCTTACATTGCTGTCACATTGTAATGTATGTAACCTAAAGAGGCCTGCGGTAGGTACGAGACTTGGGTGAGTCAGTTTTCAAGTGTGACTCAATGGGAAAGCACCCTCCCCCCCCCAACCCCCCGGGGGCCTGCCAGGAAGGAAAGGGAGCGTTTATTCTAGGTCTCCACCAGGGGGCAGCAGTTGTCTGTGCCTCCCTAGGGGCAGGTCTCCTTCCTGCACCCCCCACAGGTCTCCCCCCTCCTCAGTCCTAGCCTCCTAGCTGACTTAGGCTGTAGGTAGGAAGCAAAGGCGCGCCCTAGACCCTTCTTCACACCCCCTTAGCTCTCTTCCCTCATAAGGTTGTGCCCATCTGTCAGTCCAGTGATCTTTTAAACCAGTATGTTTTAAGTGAAAATTGGCCTTATTTTCTTTCAGCCCCATCACTCTTTGTTACCTCAGGAGAACCTCCTCCACATTGACCTTACTTTTTCCCTCCGTTCAGTACCTTTGTGTTGGATGAGTTTAAGCGCAAATACTCCAATGAGGACACCCTGTCCGTGGCGCTACCGTATTTCTGGGAGCACTTCGATAAGGATGGCTGGTCCCTGTGGTACGCGGAGTACCGCTTCCCCGAAGAGCTCACCCAGACCTTCATGAGCTGCAACCTCATTACCGGTGAGCGGAGGGGGGAGTCAGAAGGGGAAAGGGGAGCGCAAGGTAGTGGCTGATGTGATCCTAAAGGCAGCATGTTCTCCCTCGCCCCTTCAGGAATGTTCCAGCGGTTGGACAAGCTGAGGAAGAACGCCTTTGCCAGTGTCATTCTCTTCGGAACCAACAATAGCAGCTCCATTTCTGGAGTCTGGGTCTTCCGAGGCCAGGAGCTTGCCTTCCCGGTGAGGAAAGGTGTAGGGGAGGAGTCTTTCTCCTGAGGGTGGGGCAGGGGTATGGGAAACACACTTCGGTTCCTGTGCCTTGTAGGCATTCAGGAGAGCTCAAGGGATATGTACAGGAAGGAGCCGTCGCGGTCACAGGCGTTTTAGGAGCTGATGACATGTGTCTGAGCTGGAAGTAACAGGTGTGGGACAGTATCTGATAACCTGGCCACATGCTGCTTAACCTGGCCTTTTCTCCCCAGCTGAGCCCAGACTGGCAGGTGGACTACGAGTCCTATACATGGCGGAAACTGGACCCTGACAGCGAGGAGGCCCAGACGCTGGTTCGAGAGTACTTTTCCTGGGAGGGGGCCTTCCAGCATGTGGGCAAAGCCTTCAATCAGGGCAAGATCTTCAAGTGAACATCTCTTGCTGTCACCTAGCTGCCTGCACCTGCCCTTCAGGGAGATGGGGGTCATTAAAGGAAACTGAACATTGAACCCTTACCTGTCCTGCCTCCTTTGTGAGTGATGGCTTCTTCAAAGGGGACTAGATCTGTCGAAGCAGGGTATTTTGTGAGCCTACAGTACCTCCCCTTGCAGGGGAGAAGTCTTCGGAAGAACAGGAAGAGGCCTCTCCTCAGTTTTGACTATTCACCCTGCCTCTACCATGATGATTGACTGCTAGCCTAGCTGGGAAAGACTGGACTCAGTGAGGGTGGGCGGGCACGGGGAGCTTTGTAGCGGCCTGATTTGTTTTTTTAATGTCTGTGTATTTTTAAGAGAGAGTGTGAACGGGGGGAGGGGCAGAGAGAGGGAGACACGGAATTTGAAGCAGTCTCAGGCGCCGTGCTTGGGGCTCGAACTCACAAACTGCGAGATCGTGACCTGAGCCGAAATTGGACTCCTAACTGACTGAGCCGCCCAGGCGCCCCAAGTAGCTACCTATTTCTTAAGAACCAGATTACAGAACTTTCCTCGTGAAGGGTGAGAGTGCCTGCTAACGGCACTAAGAACTAACCTACCGTTAGTGCACAGTGTGTGGAGAACTTGGCGTGATTTCTCACAGATGCCCTGGAAAGTAGGTAGGTGGTGGCATCCGAGGTCATAGTTTAAATAATTCAAACAAGTGGGAATACAGGTACCGATTACCCAGAACAGGCACTGGCCTCTTGTCCCTAACCTGGCTGTGGACCATCTGGCTTTTTTTTTTTAAATGTTTATTTTTGAGGAGAGAGAGGCTGTGCATGCACAAGTGGGGGAGGGGCAGAGAGAGGAGACACAAAAAGCTGAAGCGGGCTCTGGGCTGTCAGTACAGAGTCTGATGCCGGGCTCAAACCCATGAACCACAGGATCATCACCTGAGCTGAAGGAAGTTGGACGCTTAACTAACTGAGTGCCACAGGCACCCCTGGGGTATTTCTACTTTCTAACAAGGAAGTGGGGTTCAGAGATTTAAGCAACCTGCCTGTGATCACAACAGTTGCCTGTGGAGACAGGATTTTGAATCCAGTGGGTGTCCCTGCTGCCCATACTCTTAAGTGCGCCCTGCTGCTTCCTGGAATGTAGAGCAGTCCTAATTCCCATCCAGAAACCCTGCTCAGACCTGTGGTACTGTTTTATCTCCTTTGGGCCTAATTTTTATTCTACGCTTTGCAGAGATTCTTGTTCCTACTCTCTTCTGAAGAGCTTTGAAGGTCGCCCTGTGTATTAACAGGTGAAGCAGGAAAGCTCTAGCTCAATTCACATATTTGAGGCATATGCAGAAAGAGTTACCACTCAACCTTTGGTCTCTGGTTTATGGTTTTATGTATTTTGTTGTCTTTTTTTCCTCCCACCTTAGTCGAAGCACAGAAGGGCTTGGGTTGGGAGGGGAAGGAAGAAGGTGAACTTTCCAGGTACAGACGGGGCGCTGGTAGCTTGGGAAAGGGGAGGGCTGGGTACCTAGATCCCGGTGGGGGTTCTGGGAAGAATGGGACGAGCAGAGCTGCGGTTTGGAATCCTGCTGGGTAAGGATGGGTTGGTTCTTGCTCAGAGTTTGCTCCCTGGCGGGTCATCTTGGGTCGGATCCAAACTTGCCACCTGTCTTGCTTCCGAGCATTCCCGGCCTGCTCTGGGTTAGGATCTAAAAGTGCTAGTTGCTGGCTGGGCTGGGTCCTGCCCAGGGTGCCTGGCCTTGCGGAACCTGTCCGACTCCCTTCACACCACACCTCCCTGCTCCCTCGCTCTCGGGTCCTCTTCCCCCCTGCTTCCCCCTTCCCGGTTTCCTTGGTCTTCCAGGAGCTGAATGTTGAGTCAGAAGAGGCCCAGGAGTGAGGCCTCGTTGTGGAAAAGGGGGGTTCTGCCGGGTGGGCCGGAGCTGGGGCAGCAGCAGGCCTGGCACCCCACGTGGACTGGGCGGGTCTGGTGGACCCGGACTCTCCGGCTGCAGGAAGCATGACTCATCCTCACGTCCTGCCTCCTGTGCCCCAAACTCTGGCGGTTTGGTGCAGAGAAGGGCGGCAAGGTTGTTGGATGAGGCCCGACCTGCGCTTGGGGGAGGGCCAGTACCCACAAGCGGGGGTGGGGTGGGCAGCCCGAGGGGAGGGTGTCCGGGGCCTCCGGCTGCCTCCGCTGTTGGCCTCCAAGCTGTTGGCCTCCAAAGCGGGACGGAACTGAAGGGCCTCTTCCCGCCGACGTGGGCAAGAAAGAGGTTAACAGCAGGAGTTTCTAGCGGCACATGGAGGGCGGGAAAGAGGGGAGGTCCATCTGGAGTGGGTCGGGCCCCGCCCTGCCCCGGGGAGGCCTGAGTCACCGCACAGCCCCGGGCTCGGGACTCTGGCCCTCCCCGATCCCCGACCGATCCCCGAACGGCAGGGGCCCCGCGCTTGCTGGAGCGGAGCCCCGCCCGGCTCGCCCAGGCAGCCCATGAGCGCCTGCGCCAGCGGGGACGGCCCTGGTTGCAGGGCCCTGTTCCTGACAAGCCGGGCACGCTCGCGCCACCCGCGCACCACCTAGAGCTGGCATCCCGGCGCCCACCGTGCGGCGCCGGCCTGCGGGGGCTGAGATCGCGGGCTGGAAGGGGAAGGGGGGGGTTGCAGTGGGTCAGGGCTGAGGACAGGGCGTGTTCTTGGAGAACTAGGGTAAGATGGGCCGACGAAACTGTTTTATCCTCCTAGTGGGCAAAACCTTTGAGCCTCCGGAAAGGGAGGTGGAGAAACTAGAGAGGGGGCGTCGGGGGCTCAGAGGTGCATTTTTGCCTGCAGGTGAAATCTCTTCTTTTACTTGAGTTCCAGTATCGCTAACCTACGGTGTCCCATTCATTCCAGGTGTATAGTATAGTGATTCACCACTTCCATACATCATCACCCGGTGCTCATCAGAGCAGGGCGCTCCTTAGTCCCCAAACCCGGTTTCACCCAACCCCCCACCCTCCCCTCCTCTGGTAACCATCCGTTTGTTCTCTGTAGTTAAGTCTGTTTTTTGGTTCGTCTCTCTCTCTCTTTTCTGTTTGCTCGTTTGTTTTGTTTCGTAAAGGCCACATATGAGTGAAATCATATGCTATGTGTCTTTCTCTGACTGGTTTATTTCGCTCAGCATGATACTCTCCAGCTCCATCCCCGTCCCTGCTGCAGATGAAATCTTGCCTGAGCCCTGAGTGTGCATGGGAACGCCTGTATATAAACCAGTAGGTACTGGTCATAAGCAGCTATTTATTTTAGCTTTGTTGGCGCTTCTGCTTAAGTCACTTATTAAAAAGCCGAAAGCCTTTAAAGTTCTTCCAAGAAAGACCTAGATTGTCTTCTTTTTTTTTTTTTTTTCATGTCGTTTGAGCTGGAGCTGGACAGCTGCTCGGCACACTGGGTTGGGCCCATACCACCAGCTGCCCACATGCCCCAAATGTGCCACTTCCCCTTTTGAAAGGTGGGGGAAGGGTCTAGAATGTTGAGGGGAGAGAATAAAAGTGTTTTGGAGGCTCCACCGGGTCATTTATGAGATTATTACTGGGGTTTTCATGGCAACCAATGCTCTTTGTCTCCGGAACCCAGAACTTTTGCTCCAAATGGGTTTTCCTGGGTGCCTCTTGGTTTCCCTGGCTCACCCCACCGAGCTGTACCTACAGTGCAGGGTAACTCCCCCAACTTGCTCTGGTCCTCCGTATGAGTGCAATTCTGGGGTCCTCACCCTCTTCCCTCTGCCTCTCCTAATGCTGTGGGGTTGAAATATAGGCACTCGTGAAAGGTTAGAGAAACTGCCACCTGCTCCTGTCTGTTTGCTCTAATCAGGCTGGCATGGCTCCTGGAGGAGGCTGTCGTTTTACTCCAGTGGAATTACTGGGGTGTCCCAGTGCTTCAGCACCCAAGGGATGGGTGGAATGGTGGGTAATGGCGGCTGCCAGACGCTAGCACTGGACGTCTCATAAGAGAGAGAACGCCAGGGGCAGGTGGGACCAAAGTGCCCTTGGTGACCCATCTGGATCTCGAGAGGTTCCTTGGCTCTTTTCACTCTTGTTCACTCTTGTGGCCCCCTCCCCTTCGGGAACCTCCCCCTGCCCCCTGTTTTTCTGAGACCCTCAGGATTACAAAGAGAGCCTACCGACCTTACCTTGTTTACACAATGCGTTGGCCATGTGCGGAACAGGGGCTGGATGGTCAGGGTCTGGGGCTATTTCTGATCGGATCTCCCATGGAATGCGCTTCCCTCTACTTCCAGCTGCCCCCTCCCCTCCGCAGCAGGAACAGCTGTCATGTGAGGGCCTCTCCCGCTGCCTCAGCCCTTTTGCAATCATCTGGCTGGCTCCACCGGGATGGGGGTGGATAGTGAGGATGGGCAGAGCCAAAGGGTAAATGAGGGGACCTGGCTGGGCAGGGAGGGCTATGAGGTTGAAGGCTGAGGGAAGAGAGTTTGCCAAGGCCAGGTAGGAGGGGTGGAGTAGGCCAGGGTGCCCATCAAAGATAGTGAGATTTGCAGTGCGACCGGAAACTTGCTAGGTGCGAGGGAGATGAGTTGGTTATAGCGGGACCCTGGGCAGTCATTCTTCTGGGAGCTCCGCATTTCCCCTGAGTCACAGGGTAGCCACGGGGTGCTTTCCTGTCAGCCTGCCTCTATGTGGGGTCTGAATCACCCAGTCACCTAGGGTGTTGGCTGCCCTATGGTGGTGTTGCCTGTGCCTCACACCACCCACTCCTCGTAGGACGGCGAGGGTGCGGGGGTAGCATACACGTCCCTTTCTCCCATCCTTCTCAATGGTTATACTCGTATCTCTTTGACTCAGACTTCCAGAATGTACCTTATGCAGGACTGCTGGGGAGACCACATCAAGTAGTCCCCTTTATGTCACCCAGGAGGAAATGAGCCCGAAGAGGGGAAGTGACTGATCAAGGGGGCATGCTAGCCTTTCCACAGTTCTCGAAGACACTCCCTGAGTCACTTGGCTCCTTTTTTTTTTTTTTTTTTTTACGTTTTATTTATTTCTAGGAGAGAGAGAGACAGTGTGAGCAGGGGAGGGTCAGAGAGAGAGGGAGTCA